GCATATAGGACTATACGTCGTTTTCAACATTTATAGACTCTATAAAGCAATTTTGAAGTAATTAAAAAAAAAAAAAAAAAGTAAAATTTTCTCAAAAAATATATGTTACGTAAAATAATAGCACAAACAACTTTTGACTTGGAAAAAGCTTCAAATTCATAGTCAAACGCAAGTTAAAAATAAAAAACCAAACGAAAAAAAATAAAAAATAACATTTTTAAAAAAGGAAGTTTGTCCACAGATGGGATAATATGTTATGGCGAACGTATTAACAAACAAGATAACATGTTCGGACGTTCGCCAAACCCTCGAACATGTTCGTCGTGATACACAACTTATAGGATTATACACGATCTTTTAAGATAATAAAAAACATAGATATTTCAATTTATAAATATACGATGCTCTGCCTAGTAATGATTTAGTGTGAAAAATTTTGTTTTTTTTCCTCGCCCCTTCCAGTGGTTCCCTTTTTTTTNTTTTTTTTTTTTTTTTTTTTTTTTTTTTTTTTTTTTTACTTTGCAAAAAATCTACCTCCTGTAGAAGGCCTAAAAAACGTACTCTCATAATACTAAATAAATTTCGTTCAAACCCAACATTTTTTGTTTTTTTGGTTTTCACGAATCCTATGTTCTAAACGGAACCTCAAATTTTTTTATAGTGGGCGGATCATTATCATGTGTCTCAGGCTATTGCTAAGTGCGTTGATGCTTGACCAACAAAAGTAGCCACTCGTTAGCCAACGCTACCGGCCTATCATTGGTGGCGGAACTGATCGACTATCAGAAACCTTGGTTCGAGCGACCCCGCTAGGAAAGAAATTGACAATAAAATAAAAGAACAAAAAACGAGGGAAGTTTGGTTGGCCCTACTGAGACACATTACCACTCCATCGGGGCAGATATGGTTCGCAAATATCATTCTAATATGTCTCTTCTGCAAACAAGGGCATAACGAACCCCGCCGGTGAATGAATATCCATGAGTTCAGGAAGCCAAAGACGTCAATTCGATTCTCATCCATCTGCTCTATCCATCGGGGCAAACCAAATGGTCAGGAACAACCTTTCCAGTGTTCCCGGAGAGGTGGTTCTTTCGAATCTGCTCTGATCGGACTATGTTTTACCTGACATTCAGAGTCTGCCTCAATATTTCAGGGCCTTGCTGGGGGGTTAGCCACGACCTGTTTGTGCTAGTTGTCACCTTATAGATCAGAATCGCACCAACGGCTGCGAGCTTGAGAACAGTTCTCTTCCCTGAATGTGGAAACCATCGGAGCAACTAGTGGCCTATCCTAATCACTGACGGGCTTGAGCGTGAGGAGAATTATGAGGGGTGATGAGGTTCTTGTGATGAAATATAGTTTGATTAGGGACAAGAGAGAAGGGTGGGAGGAAAAGGAATGTCAGGACATGGAACCCCATAGACAGGCTCAGCGAGAACAGACAGTTTGGATGGTCAAGGAAGAGAGCTACATAGAGTATGTAGTCTACTTTTATGGTCACAACGACTGACTACACAGCACCAGCTCATTCTTAGAAATTGTTGAACAGGCCAGGGCTGAGCTCAACTGAATGCATGTGGGTCCTTTGGAGAAGCGTTCAATTTGTATCCCAACAATCTTTAGTTAACTTTTCAATCAACTTCTCAAACAGTTCTCAATCAGTCGTCAATCAACACTCCACCATTTTCAAACCATTTTCATGCTACTCGAGAACCTCTATTGGAAGGAATCAGCAATTAATTATTTCCAATCGACACGAAGTTCGGTATCAGTCAGGTGGCATCCACGTCAGACGATACAAATTTCTTCGACAATCAAAGACTGTCCTCATCAGGAGACGCAAATCAGTCTCGACACCCATCAACTGCACATGAGTACAGTCCAGTCGTTCTCGGTTCAGGAAGCTGTCCTGCCCAGTCTCAACAGGATTGCTTTAAGAGATGCTTTCCAACACAGATGTGTCAGTGTGGTCGGCTTCAGACAGGAGAACCTATCCATCTACGTGGTTCACACTGAGTTTGTCGGCGGTACCATTCATGACCTGAGACCCTACGTGAGGAAAAGCAAGGAGACTCATGATCATTTTGACTTAGTCTGAATTTCGGGGGCAAGATACCTTGAGGAGAGGGAGAGAGAGTTTGACGAAAAGGAGACATAGCTGGTCCGCAGCTTCGGACCAAAGCTATACTCAGACTATCCCAGGCCTCCGGTACCTTTCACCCTCACTGACGGCTCTTGCTGGGGCAACTTGATAGATTTGGCAAAGAGGTACATCTCGCCAGCATAGATTGACTATCAGGCTTTGACAGAGCCTTCAGAGCCCAAGCATCTCAGACGGGGAATCTTCTCCAGACCCTATCTACCTACTCTATGGGAGGAGTTCTACTCCATGATTGATTTTCGGGTCATATACCTTGGATGGAAGTGTTAAGAGCTCGCTGGTTTCAGGTGGCTCTATATTCCATGGCCACAACCTCAGAGAGTACGCAGACATGGTTCAAAGCACAAGAAACCAGCAGTCAAATGAGAGATTGAGCGTGAGAACCCAGAGGGATGAGTGAGGACTCGAGACTAGTGCTGGCTATGCTCTCTTCCATGTGTACTTTCTGAGACTATTATGAGTTATCATTCTTCCCTCATTTAACTTTGTCTTTGCTCGAGTCAGTTAGTCTTGCTTCCTGCAGTGTCATTGCTGATAATTTCATTTCTCCGATGATTCTGTCACGGTTCTCAAAATTAGTAAACTCGGCAAAATTCTTCTGATTATTATCTGCACAATTCTTGTTGTTCCGAATCAAAATAAAAGATTCCTAAGACCGGGGACCGGCGAAGACCGCAATTGAAGGGTCTCGCTCGAAGCCGGATGCACACAACAGGAAGGGATTTGCTTTATTTAATTTTATTTTATTTAGTGCAACTCAATTCAAAATCCTGCGTGACAGCCTGTTGGCTTTCCGGTCGCCTAGAGAGGCCC